TCCCTGAAGCCATGTGGCAGGAATACTATCTGCATGGCCAAGATGAAGCGTGTCCTTTCCAACTCTCCATTGCCAACTCCTTGTTAGAACTGTGAAACTTCAGAGTTGGATGGTATGAACGGACATTGGGTCTAATCCTCTCTTAATATCTCTGGGGCAGCTGAGGCCCAGAAAACATATTTATATGAGACCACTGGGGACAAAGCCAATGATGGATGGACCTGCAGCAAGTTAGAGGCAGAGTTCAAATTACAATCTCTTGACCTACTTAAATGCACACAATTAGAATTTGTAGTGCCTTTTGCAAACAGTATCTCACTGAATTCCCACAAACCTATGGAATTGTATTATAATTCTCACCTACCCATGAGGAAAAGGAGGCTCAGGGAAATTAGTGGTTTGTCTAAAGTCACACACTGGCAAACAACAGATCCAGGATTTGAACCCCAGCTTGACTGGCTCCAATTCCAGTGCTCATTTCCCCAGTGTTTCCCCCTGCCCCCTCCCCCCCCCCCCGTCAAGCTGGACTCTTCATTTCTGGGACATCTGCAGCCAGAGGTCATTTCTTTCTGCAGCCCACTTCCCCTGCCCAGGGCAGTGCTCTTTGCCCCATATGAAAGGGGTAGCAGTGTCTCTGTTATAATCCTGGGCACTGAACTCCATGAACCGAATCCACACAGAGCCTGGTCTCCCGCACACAGCCCTGCTCCTGTCTGTGGCCACTGAGGCCTCTGCCATAAATCCCCAGGTCTCAGCGCATAACCATTAGCAAGCAATTGGGCTCATCAGGACGCCTTTATGAGACTCAGGTCAGATAAATGGACTGCCGGAGGTCAGGAACAAGGGATCTTGTCGCCCAGACTGGCTTCAGAGGTGTCCCCCCCACCCCCAGAGGCCGGCAGATTCCATGTGACTTGCAGCTGCAGGTAGGAGAGGGGGTGTTGCCATAGTGGGGTAAAGATGTATCCCCAGGTAATCCACATTCGTGGGAGGAGAATGACCTGGAGGTGAAAAGCCTCAGATGGCTCACAGTCATTAAGGCTGGAGTTTCCACACACACACACACACACACACAGACACATCCACAAACATGTACACTCTGACACTCCATCTCTGATTCAAATCCTGACTCTTCAGCAACCGCCCCCAGCCCTGCCCACCTCCGTGCTGGCCTCACACTGTCCCGCCTTAGAGGTGATCTCTAGATCAGTGCTTTTCAAACACCCCTGTGCCTACAAATGACTGGGGATCTTGTTCAAGTGCGGATTCCCATTCAGTCAATCTGGCCTGGAACTGGACATTGTTTTTCTAATCAGCTCCCAAGTGAGACAGCTTCTCCCAGGATTTTAAACAATGGTCCTCCCATATTGAAGGGGCGAGAATGGAGGAGGTGGGAGTGTACAGTTTGGAAAAGCTCCTCTCTCACCACCTCTCCCAACTCTGGAGGTTCCGCTATGCACACCCAGAGCACTGAGCCGCTTCTGGAATGCTGTTCTCCCATCTTCATGTGGCTCCTTCTCGCCCTTCAAATCTCAGCCCAATTCTCTGCTTCCTCAGAGAATGAATGAATAAAGCACTTCCACGATGAGAAGTCATGTGGAAAAGAGTCTCTGAATGAGGGGCTGAGATCATAGACAATTAAAGAAAGCTTTTGGAGGAAGGAAAACGGGAGGAAAAGAACATTGTACGAAAGACTTGGGAGATATGACACAAGGAAAAGGGGGAGGCAAGTGCATCTGGGTAACAGGTTGGCCCTGTTGGTCCCAGCTGCCATGACAGGGGTGGGGGAGGGCCCTGGAGGAAGAGGTCCTGGGAGTGGGGACAGGTGCTGCAGGGTCTTAAAAACTATGGCGGGCAACAGGAAGGCTATGGTCCTCCCCAGACCTCATGGGCAGGGACCTTCATTTATTTCTTCTTTCCTGTGCTTGACAAATTCTTCCTGAGCCTCTGTCACACGGCAGATACTGTGCTGGGTGCTGCCCACACAGGGATGAACACAATGCCTCTGATTCCTGCCTTCATGGGGTTTACAGTCTATCAGGAGAGACTGACATTAAACAAACTAAATTGTTAATGTTGGGCTAAGTCTACAGAGAAGTACATGATGAGGGGTGAGATGGTTGGGGGAGAGGCTTCCTTAGGGAATGACAGTCAGTCACCCAGAGTCCTGAGGAGTGGGGCACGTCCTCCCCAGCCCCCTGACGGCCTCAGCATTTGTCCTGGACTTCCCACATTCCTCTGCACGGTCCCTTTAAGAGGCACGTCTCTTTCCTGAGCAAAGGAGGTTCTGGGCACACTGCCGAGGCTGCCAAGGTTGTGGGTTATAAATCAATGCTGGCACTCCCTTGGCAATGGGCTCTCCTCTGAGCTGCCCAGATGGCGGGCAGGCCTGGGGCTCCAGGGGCAGCCAGGCACGCGGGAGGGGGGAAGCGGGCAAGGTAGGGACACAGCTGGGCCACGGGCCCCAGTGGCAGCTGCCTACCTCTGTCTAAGGGCCTTGGGCTAGAGAAAATGCCAAGGTCCTTCTATGCCAATCACAGGGACTTTCTGATTCCTGAGTTCCAGGCTGGCACAGGCCTTTGTGGTCATTGTCCTCACGCCTGCCAGTGACCCAGGTGTCACAGACATCCTCCAAGACCAAGGGCTGTGGGTTTTCCCTTTTGGATGACTTCTTGGGGTCACAGTCGGCTCCAGCATCCGATCTGAAAGTTCTACCTGTGGTTTGACTCTCTTCCCTTTTGCTGTAGCCAAGATGTGCTCTTTTACACTCTGAAGGCAGTAGCTTCCCATTTGGTGGGGGCTTTGGGGCTGTGATGATGGGCCCCCACTGCCTTCACTTGAAACCTTCTGGAAAAGCAGGATGAGAAGCTTTCTCAAGGTCAGCTGGAGAAGGTGGAACTCCACCCTCCTGGGGGTTGCCATCCCTCAGCCACCTTCACAGGTGCTGTGACAGAGGGAACATATGTCACTTCCACCCCAGAGGGCAGTGACAACGTCTCAGCAGCCACAGCCCCACAGAGCTGGGCTCAGCAGGCCTTGACAGAACTGGAAAGGCAGCCTCTCTCCTGGGCCTGGGCCTGGGGCTGGCTTGTGTGCCGAGGGGTGGAAACAAAGCCTGGAGGCCCCTCCCACTGAGGAAGAGACAGGCTTGCCTGCGCTCTCCCTCCCCCACCCCCAATATTCAACAAGGTTTCTAGAACAGTGGAAAATTCCTGGGTTATAGAACAAGAGAGATTTCTGGGATGTTCTTGTCCTCAAATTCTCCTGTGAAAAATCAGGGCTCACCCGGACTTAGAGAGCCTCTTACACACTCATTGTGCAGATGAGGAAACTAGACCCAGAGAAATAAACACAGGCCTTTTAGCATTCAGGTTATTCCCACTACCCCACATTTGTCTCCTGAACAGAGTCCCCCTGCGCCACCACTAAGCAGGATACATTAGGCTCCAACTGTAACAGAGGAGACGGAGGTGAGCTAACAAGCAGAACTTTCTCAGAATAGTCACCTACAGAAAAGGATGAGAAACAAAAATAAAGGAATGGAGTTCTCCAAAACAGTGGGGTGGGAGAAGGGAGGGATGGAATCAGGAGTCGGGTTGGAATTTTGCAAAAAAGGAAATCAAGAAAATGGAGGAGAAGGGGGCTGGCTCGGAGCCCAGAGCAGGGCAGCCAGGGGGTGGGGCTTCCAGGGTTCCTCACCGAGGACTTCCAGCGTCCACCTGTTCCTGGCCTCTGGGTATCAACAGAAGTTTAAATTCAGGCCTTACCTCGGCTGATTCTCTTGGCTTGTTCTTTGCTCTCCCGGGATGGCTTATCTGGCTGCCAGCATCATTTGCCTCCTCTAATGTGTGTTTAAATTAAAGTTCCCACAAAACAGGGGCTTAATGTGCTGTTACTGAGAGCTCCTGGGCCCCCTGCCGCTTCGAAAGTCGAGGAGAGCTGGAGGGAAGAAGCCACTGTGCACGCATCGAGGCTGATCCCACTGGAGGAGGGAGCTGGCGACAATGATCCTTCTGGGTGTCTCTCCAGTCCTTGTTGCTCTCTCTAAATGGTGCCGTCTGGGGGCGGGGCAGGTCAGGGCAAGTCATGCTCACAGAGGGCTTGGGGATCAACAGACCTGTCATAGGGCTCCCGGTAGATGGTCACCTGTTTTCAGGACCTTGGGAAGAAGGCAGGGAAGATGGGCAATAAGAAGAGGGTGGGGGTAGAAAATAAGAACAAAGCTTGAGGGTCCATTTTTTTTTACTAACACTTACACAGAGTGGTCAATATGCCTGCATGTCCTAAGGCCCTCTTAACCGTAAGCTCATCTTACTGTCTCCGGGTAGTTTTGTCTTTATCATCAGCTCCTTTTTTTATAGGTGGGGAAATGGAGGCACAGAGAGGTCAAGTAACTTACTCAAGATCACACAGCTAGTAAGAGGTGGAGCCAAGATTCAACTCCTTACAGTCTGGCTCCAGATTCTGCCTAGGCTGTCCCTTAAGCCAAGATTTGTCTGTCACCCTGCCAATCCCCTGATCACAAAGTGAGCCTTCTCTTTGATTGTCAGGGCGACTGAGGCAGAGTGAAGCTCCCTTCTGCTCCCTCTTTCCCTCTCTGAGCCACAAGATTCCATCTATAAAATGAGGATAAGGCACTTGGAGGGACTAAGGGACTAGGAAGGCTTCAGGAGATAGCTTGTCAGAGTGGCCATCATGGGGTCAGTCCTCAGTCGTTATTCCTTCCCTTTGCCTAAGCACAAGCCTTCCCGGCTGCAGCTTTCTGCATCACCTCTCGATTCTGCTTTCCAGAGTGCTTCAGGCAGTGATTCCTCATTCCTCAGTGAAAATCCCTAGGGAGTTATCCCCCATTCCTTAGTCCAAAACCTCTCTCTTCCTCCAGGGAGCCCCTGGAGAAGTGTAATAACTGCCCATCACCCCTCCCCTACGTAGACCTAGGAGGGCCAGTCAAGGTCCCAACAGAAAACACATGATATTCAAAAGGGCTTCACTGAAGAGATTTTAATGACATGACAATTTTCAAGGCATAGATAGTATTCAGGGAATCAGTAAGGGTAGAAACGATGCCAGTAAAACTGGGGTTGGGGAGAGCGGCCACCCAGCCAAGCTGGAGCCACTGGGGAAACACAACCCCTGCTAGGACTTTAGGCAGACAAGGGAGGAGGTGGGCAAGAGACAAGGAACCGAATACCTTGGCTATTCTCTCCCTTCCCTGCCAGGACCCCTGCCGGCCAAGTCCGACCACGAAGGAGAATTCAGGAGCCCAGGTGATGCAGTCTGCGTAGGGCAGCCTCCAGGGCCAGGGACGCCCAGAGAACAGAGGCAGCAAACCAAATCACCCGGCCCACTCCACCCGGGATTCCCTTAGAACTGAGAGCCTTATTTCTGCAGCTTTATTGCCGCATTTGTCGCTGCCGGCAGCCAAACAGTGACCCAGCTCATAAGGAAGATGGGATCCAGGCAGAAAGAAGCTGGAGGAAAGGGGGCTGCACTGAGCACGAGGAGGGGCAATGAGGAGCACGGCTTTGGAGGTAGTGACATCAAATGGAGATACAAGATGCCTCTCCCACCTCAGCACTTGGTACAAATCACTGTCACCTTGCTCCTGCCTCCCCTCTCTAGACCGTGGCCCCTGCAGGGTGGGAATCTGGTCTTGTCCATCCAGGACACCCAGCGTGGTGCCTCTTAGGTACATAATCAGAACTTATTGAATAAATAAAGGGCTAACAAGTAAATGGATGAACAAGCCTATTCACTGTTCACGTGCACACGCTGGGCCCACATCTGGGAGCACTGATGAGTGAATCACACAGCTCCTACAGGAGTTTTATTTCCATCATGCGCCACCTCAGATTTTCCGTGCAGCCGTTCAGTCACTGGCCGCCCTAGCCCTCTGAACTGGCCAGCAGCTGCGCTTGGATAGCACCCGTTCAAACGTGCAGTGACTTCATTGGGCTCCTCTTGATGAGGGAATCAGGGAAACAGCAAGTTCCTTCATTGCTCACAGCAGCCCTCCTGTGCGCTTTCTCCGGAGAAGTCTCGATCCATGGCAAACCGTCTGTGGTATTCCCGGCTGGAGCCCTTGGCAAGAGATGGGAGGCGAGAATGACAGTGCCAAGGAGGCAGCTGAAGGATCGTCACCCTGGGAGCCACAGCGCTGCCTTGCTTTTTCCAATGGGCCATAAAGACTGAGAGAGGCAGGGGGAAGGGGAGCGGGGGGTGGCCAGGAAAACACACTCGAGTTCCCAAGTGGAGTCCCAGTGCCAAGCCCACCTGGTGCAGTGATGACGCACAGACTCTGGGGCGGGCGGTTGGCTTCACAATCCCTGCTCCGCCACTTGTGGGCTGTGTGACCTCGGCCAAGACCTTGGGCCTCAGTTTCTTCATCTTAAAAAACGTATGTGGTGACTACTAATACCTACCTCATATGGTGGTGGAAAACAGATGAGTTCATCACCATGAAATATTTAACAGGGTCCATGGTCTGCAGTAAGCCATACATAAATTTCATCACATAAAATTGAGCAGGACACTCGGGTTCTAGCCTCACAAATTTTTTCTCCTGTAATAATAAGCCCAGCCTTGGATACCTTTTATGTTTGCTGTAAAAAGTGAACAAATGCATATGAAAATTATAACGTGTTAAAGTTTTGTTATTTGTCATCAAGTTCGAGTACGTGTCTTGATTTAGCAGGGGTGGGGGGATGCTAAAGGGCTGTCAATCATCAGCTGCTGCTGATCTGCCTTGCTGCAGTCCCCTTCTTGTCAATGTCATCAGCCTTTGGCTTGTTCAAGCCTCTGGTTGACAACATCCAGGCCTCTCGTGGTCCCTCCCACACAGCAAGGGCTGGAAGAAAAAGGCTTTTGAAAGCAAAACTGATCCTTCCCTTCCTGCCCACCAGGCAGGTGTAGACAGCGGACACAGGCTTCGAGAGAAGAGCTGGCGCCGCCACCTCAGCCCTCATTGCCTTTAGGCAGGAGTGGAGGGGATGAGCTAGAGTAGGACAGGGGAGGGCAGCCAGGTCCTCTGCATCCCGGCCTCAGAAGGAGATGAATTTGTCTTTGTTGCAGAGACCAGGGGATGAAAACAAATCCACACCCCAGAGTCCAGTACAAATGTGCATGATTGATTTCAAATAGTTACTTAATCTCTGAGTCAGTTTTTCTCATCCTCAAAATGGGGATGATATTACCTAATTCAAAGAGTGAAAATGAGTGAGATATATAAATCCCTTGGTACATGGCTAGTCCAATACATGGTAGCTACTACTAGCTAATTTTTTTTATTGTAGTTGATTTACAATGTTGTATTAGTTTCTGGTGTACAGCATAGTGATTCAGTTATACAAATATATATGTATATATCCTTTTTATATTCTTTTTTATTATAGGTTATTACAAGCTATTGAATATAGTCTCTGTGCTACACAGTAGGACCTTGTTGTTTATCTATTTTGTATATTATAGTTGTACCTGCTAATCCCAAACTAATTTATAATTTATCCCTCCCCAGCCCCCTTTCCCCTTTGGTAACCGTAAGTTTGTTCCGTATGTCTGTCTCTTTCTGTTTTGTAAATAAGTTCATTTGTGTTTTTTTTTAGATTCCACATGTAAGTCATATCATATGACACGTATCTTTGTCTGACTTACTTCACTTAGTGTGATAATCTCTAGGTCCATCCATGTTGCTGCAAATGGCATTATTTCATTTTTTCTTATGGCTGAGTAGTATTCCATTATTATATATATACTGCAGCTGCTTTATCCAAGTATCAATGGACATTTAGGTTGTTTCCATGGCTTGGCTACAATAAATAATGCTGCTGTGAACATCGGGGTACATACATCTCTTTGAATTAGAGTTTTCCCTGGCTATATGCCCAGGAGTGGGACTGCTGGATCATATGGTAAGTCTACTTTTAGTTTTTTAAGGAACCTTCATGCTGTTTTCTATACTGGCTGCACCAAAATACATTGCTACCAACAGTGTAGGAGGGTTCCCTTCCCTCTACACCCTCTCCAGCATTGTTTGTGGCCACCCTAACTAGTGTGAGGTGATACCTCATTGTAGTTTTGATTTTACTAACTGATATTTTGCGTTCTCTGCACTCCATCCCCTCTGAGGGAGGGAGAAGCAGTGCTGCTTTCCGGACAAGAAAAGGTGGTGGCAGCAGAAAGTGATGTACAAGTCTGCTTTGTTTACGTATTCTTTCTGGAGCATGTAGTAAGGACCTCATTTGTTCATTCATTCATTCATTCATTCATTCACCAAATGTTTACAGAACTCGCCATTACTTTGCTCATTTGTATTTTTCTTACTCTTACCACTAGAACTGCGAGGCTCACAAGGGCAGGGCCAGCGTCTGTTGGGTAACCTGGGTGCCTCGTGCATCCTTGCTAGGTGAGTGAAGGGATGGAACTCGAAGCCTGTCTGCAACACTGGCATGGGCCAGGCAAGGAGGTGGGGCATGAGGCTTGGCTACTAGGCTCCATCACACCCCTGAGAACAAAACTTTCCCTTGACCTTGGAGCCTCCACCGACCTTCCTTCAGCTGTGAGATACTGGCAGATCACTGGAGACCAGACTTGGGGAACCTCTTCTGCACCGAGAAGACATCCATTCATCTCTGTGTCTCTGAAACCCCCGGAGAAGGGTCTGAGTCCCCCACTCTGAGGAGCACAGCAAGTGATCCAAATGCCAATGGGTGAGAATGGAGGGGGTAGCCCCCTCAGTAACTCACTGAGGGAGGAACATTCCAGCTGAGCATGTGTAATTAACACAAAAGGAGGCATGTTCCCAAGACCCTGCTTTCCCGGATGTTGGCTATTCCCACACTTAAGACATACCCATTCTTGCCCACAGACCTCGTTCGACATGATCCAGGCTATCTAGAGACATAAGAGTTATGGGAGAATCATAATCTCCAAAAGGAAAAAACAACCCAAATATCCATCAGCTGAAGAATGGATAAACAAAAGTGGTGTATCCACACAATGGAATATTATTCAGCCCTAAAAAGGCATGAAGCACTGATACACGCTACAACATGGATGAATCTTGAAAACAATACACTAAGTGAAAGAAGCCCATCACAAAAGGCCACACAGTATGTGACTCCCTTCATATGAAAGTTCAGAATAGAGAGATCTGGAGGGACAGAAAGCAGACCAGTGTTTGCTTAGGGCTGGGGTATGAAGCGGCCTGGGGTAGTAACTAAAGGGTATGAGGTTTCTTTTAGAGGTGATGAAAATGTTCTAAAATTGACCATGGTGATCGTCACACATATCTGTAAATATACTAGAACCACTGAATTATACACTTTAATGGCGAATTGTATGATGTGTGAATTATATCTCGAGAAACTTGTTTTTAAAAGAGAGAGGGAGAAAAAGAGAAGTTGAGATGGAACAGGAGGGCCGTGATCAGGAACAAAGCCCAGGCACTGGCCGTCCTGGCCGTCCCCCAAGCCAAAGCCTGCATGTCACACAGGCAGTGTTATGGTAGCCCCCAAGCCGTGACTTGAGAAGATAAATTGGCCGCAGAGGCATGGAGCTGGGTCCCTTCTCCCCTGACAGCTCCCTCTCTGTGTTTTTTCTGGCACAAGAAACATTCTGTCTTCTTGTATAAATAGGGGAAATTTATGACAGTTTTCCCCTTCTCCTCCCTGGTGGGCTACTAGGAAGGGGCTGGGGGTTGGGCGGAGGGAGATATAAATGTGGAAAGACTAGAGGGAGTCAGGGATCTGGGCTCTGGCCCTGGCTCTGCTCTGGCCATCTGGGTGAGGAGGCGGCGGGAGCAAAGGTGCAGCCCGCTCGTTCCCAGGCCCAGGGAGGCGGGTCTCCCAGGCAGACATCCAACAGGAGGGACTCAGGGGAAATCAAGGAAACACGGCTTGGCTATCCCAAAGCTTTATCCCAAAGCTTTATCAGAGGAGACACAGGCCCCCTGCCTGGTTTGGGTTATTTCTGCCCTTGTGATTTGTTGAGGCAGCAACCTCAACCTTTGTTGTTTTGGTGGTTAGAGGACTCATCTTGGATTCAGAAAATGACAGAAAAACTAAATGTCCAACCTTAAGCAAGTCACTTCCAGTCTCTGAGCCTCATCTGTAATTTAAAAAAAGGAGGGGAGGGGATTGAACTTTCCAGCATTTTCACACTGGTTTTAACCTTTTTTTTTTTCTTCAAATAAAACATGATGTAGCAACACATCTAACATGGGTGTCCTGCTGAGCTTCCTGGGTTGAAGCGAGGGTGACGCCGGGAGACACCCAGGCCCCCTGTGGTGACGTGAAGGGGCTTGGCCAAGCATAGGATGATCTCCAAGGTCCCCTCCATCTCTGCCCTCAGGTGGGAAGGTGTATTGAGATGGATGATGGCAAAACTGCTATAATAAAGAGGACCCCAAACACAGTCACATATAGAAAACAAGTTTATTTCTGACAGAACAGTCTGGAAGGGAGCAGTCTCAGATGGCGGGGGCTCTGCTCCACCTGGTCAATCAGGAACTTGTTCCTTTCCTACTACTGCTTTGCCCCCTCTTAGGGATTTCTCCTCAACCACATGGTCAAAGCTCAGTCTCAGGCACATCTGGATCAGTTCACGAAAAGGAGAACTTACCCAATGTCTTAAGGCTCTGATGGCAGCTGGGAAATGGAGTGTCCATCTGGGAGGCTCTCTACCCTCAGGGAACAAAGAGAGAAGGGATTTAGTGGACAACTGGAGGTCTTAATCCAGGACTCAAAAACTCAGCTGAGCCACCTTCTCCTTCTTTCCCTCCCAGAGGAGGGGAAATAGAACCTACAGTCCAGAAAATAGTGTGACCCCCCCCATGAGGTCCAGCCATCTACCCCAAGATCAGCAGTCCCAGAAAAGTGACTTGGAGGCTCTTCCAGAGGGAATACCCTTCCATCTACCTCTTCACAAGGATATGAGAAAAGCTTCCATCCCCACTGCTCCTCTGCCACTCCCTCTCTTGGTCCCACCTCATTCTCCAACCCCTGTCCCCAGTCGCTAGGCGTGACTACAAACATGAGGGTGCAGGATGACCTGAACTAGGAATGGAAGGTGAGATGGGGCCAGGCAGCTGGGCTTTGCAGGTAGCCTAGGTGTGGTTTTGGTGGCAGGCAGACCCAGCTACCAGAAGTGTGACCTGAAGTGGGGATTAAGCTCTCCGAGCCTCAACGGAATCTTCTGGATATAGGAAAGACAGGACCGCTTGTCAGGGTTGCTATGGGCATGAATCAGGATAATGGATGTACCCGGCATACAGTAGGCCCTCAAGAAATGGTAACTGATTTTACTGGGTGACAGCAAAGTAAATCTGATCCATACCCTCTGGCCTCACCTAGCCTTTGCATGGCCCTTCTTTTATCGCCTTCTTTGCAAATGCACCACTCCTGCCCTCTTCTCTACTTCCTATCCTCATTACCTTCTTATCTGAACCCTGATCTGTACTTTCCTCCTCCAGGAAGTCTTCCCTGACTGAAACATTCTCACTCCCCACCCCCACCTCCATCTTCCAGCTGCCCCGTGGTCCTGGCCTCAGCCTTGTCCCAACTCTACATGGGTCCTGCCTCACCCTTCAGAAAGTCCCACCTCCCCATTCAGAAAATGTGCAGCAATGGAAGGGAGTTAAGATTTATCATCAGGTAGATCAGAGTTCAGATTCCAACTGTGACATTTTCTAGCTTTATGACTTTGGCAAGTTACTTCATCATTTTGGACTTCTCCACTTTCTGCAACCTCTCGAGTGAGGTCAGGTCTGGGGGCCGGTACATAGTTAGAGGGTATTTAGTAAATGTTAATCTCCTCTGCTCTACCCAGTCTCCGCCAGCCCACACTCCAGAGACTGACTCTTTATCAAAGGGAGATATTAGACCAAGAAAGTAATTCTCCCAGCACGGCCCTCCCAGGGAAAAAGAACTGACTTTCCTTTGAAGTCTGTGGTCACTGAGAGGGAACCATCAACCCAAGAGCCAGAGCAGAGGCCAAGGAAGAACTCAGGTGTCCCAGCTCCCAAGGCCCTCAGGCCTCATTCTCCCCCTGCCCTCACAGCATGCGCCCCAGTTGTTAGACCAGACTCAGGGATGGGGGTGAGAGGGCTGATCTCATCACAAGCTCAGAGAATCCACTGAGCTCTTAACCTCTAAGAGGTTCAGTGTCCCCGCTCCAAACTTCCCAGATCAGAAAAGCAACAACATCAATAACAAATGACGCTTATCCAGCACTCCCTACAAGACCAACACTGTTCTAGGCACTTCGCACATACTAACTCACTTAGTCCTCACAACAGCCTATGAGCTGGGTACAATTAACTCCACTTTACAGATGAGGAAACCGCAGTGTGTGAGGTTAAGCACCTTGCCTGAGGTCAGGCAGCTGGCATAAGGCAGGGCTGAGATACAAAACCAAGCAGTCTGGCTCCAGAATCCATGCTTTTAACCACTATTCTATCCTAAGAGCTAACATGTACTGGTAGTTTCCAGGTGCCAAGCACTGTGGAGAACACAGTACATGAACTTCATCTAACCGAGAACAGCTCCCTGAGCTGCCTTGCCTCACGTCTCCACCCTCCCCCACCAGCTCCTCCTTCTCTAGGTGGGTTTTTGAACTATTAGCCCTTTCCTTCACAAATCTTCTTTACCCCCACAGCGCACAACCTTGTGCCCCAACTACTCCCATTCATTTCTCTCTCTTCCCCTCCCCTTGACCCCTAGTCCTTCCTCACCCCACGACGCCCCCACCAAACCTTTTCAGTCCCTCCCCAACATCTCCAGCTGATTCCAATGAATTTCACCTAAAAAGACCTTCAGACGGTCCCCAGTCAGGCCCCCACTGTGCCTTGATCTCACGCCCGCCCCGAGGAGGCCTGGCAGTGGCTATGCTGGAGTCAGAAATAAAATCCTCCTCCTCCTTCCCTACCCCTACTTCCCATCACTCATCTGGGAATCCAGGGCGAAGAAGGGAGCTAAAGTGCAGAGCATTCATTTAATATTAACAAATTGAAATGAATTCTTTTAATGCCAATTAACGTGGAGCGGCCCCTTATTAATAGTAATTTAGATTCATACTTGGGAGAAGCAGGGACAGGGGCTGAGCCGAATGTGCCCAGAATGTCAATGTGACGCCGGCGCTGGAGACTGAGCGGGAGGAGCAGTGGCAGTGTTACTTCTGCCGAGTTGGACTGTTTGCCTCAGAGGAACAGACAAAGTCACCAGGGGCAGATCTTTAGGAAACAGATCTCTCTGTAGTTTGATTTTTTGTACCTGCAATGCATCTGAATAGACTGAAACCGTATCGCATCATTTTGATGGTTTACTTCACAGTAACGCTAGGGAAGAATGTCCTCAGAGCTGAGATTTACCCCTAAACTCTGCTTAACCAGACGCCACTGACCCAAAGTGATCTCATCCCCAGGCCAGTTCTCTTTCCTTCTTTGTGTCATTTCAAAGCCAGCGCTGGAGATCAAAATGGGGTCCCCCAGTCCCTGCCACTTCCACCTTAATCAGAAGTAAAAGGAAAAGGAACAAAACATTGTCTCTCTCTTTTGGGAATCTTCTCCCAGGAGGTAAGAGACCCTACAGGCTGACCCCAAGCTAACAGCTTACATTTAAGGGGGGGGGGGGAATCTGCTTGTACTTTTCTTAGAATTTAGGGACAAGGTGAGAACTGAAAATTCAATTTTATGTACCAAAGAGTTGCCCAGAAGAGAGCCAAGGAGAAAGAGCTTAGTCCTAATTTAAAAGGCAAACAGAAATTCTGTTTCCCCTGGTTTTGCTGGCTTAGGCACTAGAGGTGCCCAGAACCAGAACCCCAAGTGTAAGCTCTGACCCAAGTAGGACGTTTTCTTCTTCCCAGGCATCCCTCCTTGGCTGGATGGGTGAGTCAGATTTGAAGCTGGGAATTGTGGCAGTTGAGGGGTAAGAGTTCTGAGATGGAGGAGGCAGGAGGGCAAAGGGGACTGGGGAAGGGTAAGGAAATGTACAATATGGTGAAGTTTACAAAATATAAACTTTAAAGATGGTTTAACATACAAAAGATTGAATTTTAAGAACAGGTCAGATTTTAAAAGGAGATAAAATACATCAAAATGGAAAGATTAAACTACAATTGAGGACAATGCATAAAACACTACAAGTAAATTGTTCTTCAAAAGAGGAGGACTTGGAATGAATCAAAAGAGACATCATTCACACCCCCATAGAGTTTCCCAAACAATAAATTCATTTACAAAACAAAAAGTGAAATCTATACAAAACTAACCCTTGATTCACACTAGGAGAAAAAAAGAAACATCCTGGCAATGCAGTAACAGCTGAAAAACTAGTGAGGGAGGAGAAAAACAAACGAATAAACTTGAAACATGTTAACTGATTATTTGTAAATATTGAAACTGGAAGGTGGGATGGAGAAAGGCACGAACTTGGCATCATCAGAAAAGTGAAACTTTCAAAACCATAAGGTGTAACTCATCTCCAAAGGAAACTCTCCTTAAGGAGAAGACTCCTCTCCAAAATAAGGGAATATGAAATTGATTTAGTAAGTACCACTCACCCTCCAAAAAAGGTATATTAATCTAAACTTAATGTTTCCAAATTTGAAATTATACAAAAGGTTTGGGGTTTTTTTTTCCAACTAAGAAAAATAAAATCAGGTTTAAATCGTCTAATGGGACAGGAAGGGGACGCTGTTTGCAGGTGCCAGAAAGGATGGGGGAGGGGTGCTTGTCCACTTACCCTGCTCTGGAGCGGCGGCCAGGACAGAAGAGGGTGCGGGGACCCCGCAAAATCCTGCATGTTGGGGGAAAGAATTAAGGGATCCCGTTGCCCTGCACGAATGAGGAGGGTGGAAAGACTAGGGGTACCCATTTCCCCACCTCCGCCGCCTCCCTCCCTCCTGCACCCAGGCCTTAGAGAGCTACTGAAAGTTACAAATTGCTTCCATTATTAGCTCATCCCGGGCGGCCTGGTCATTGGCCAAACCCGGACCACGTGGTCTCTCGTACCAATCGATCGAATTTCTAGTTGCAATTCTCTGTACGTCCCTTGGCTTTGGGCAAGGAAGGGGGGAGCGGTGGCAAGGGGACAGGGGAGGGGCTAAGGAGGGGGATCTCTTCGCCCCCTCACCCTCCCTCTCTGCCTTGTCTAGGCCCTGAGTGTCGCCCCAGAAGGGGCTGAGGGAATGTTGTGGGTTGGGACACACGGGGGAAGGCGCAAACTGAAGGAAGCGAGAGACGTCGCCAGGGACCCAGGGCTCTCTCCTTCCAGTTCCCTGAGCCCCGCGGCCCCGCTGGCCACTCTCTCTATAGCGCCCAGTCTGCCCCGGGCAGCCTGACCCGGTAACCCGATCGCTCCTTTCTCCGGATCACTGCTTCTGCCCCCACTTTAGGGCACAAGCACCCGAGTCCTGCTTCCCAGAGCGAGCTCTGAATCAGGCGCCTGCGCTCTCGAGGGCGCCCTCCCCACCCCGACGACGGAGTTTGCGCCCCTCCTGAGATAGTCTGAGAGAAGGACAAACTTTTGAGTGGATGAAAATGAAGAGGAGCCCGTCCGGAGCAGGTGAGCTGGGTCTGGGAGGGGTGCGCTTTAGCCTGAAAACGATCTGTCTTTCCCTATCTCTGTCTCTCTCCTTGTTACTCCATCCCGGCTCCCCTGCCGGCAGATACTAATCTGCCCGACCTCAGAGGAATTTGGGCTAGGGTTGAGCTGTCAGATGAGTGGCATGAGAGCAGCTTTCCTCCTGTAAGTTTGGGGACTAAGGTGGCAGCTGGAAGAGGAAGAAGAGTTGCTTCGGAAACTGGAGACAACAAGAGAAACTGGGGGTCTAGAGACCCATAGAGTCTGAGGGAAATCAAACGCAACTTGCAGGAACTTCAGAAAAGTTTTTGAAGAGAGATGGGGAAGAGAGCAGAGTAGGAGTTTTGAGGTTTAAAGTGGGAGGGAGGCCCCCCGCTCCTTATCCTGAAGAACGGATGCATTTTCTTGTTTCCCAATCAGGACTGATTACACATGTTGAAAACCCCGGCCAGGTCCTAAACCTGCTCACCCAACAAGCTCTCAGAAACGCTTGGAGATCCCCGAAGGGCTTTCGCGGGGAAGCGGGAGAAGCACTAGCGGAAAATAGTAGTTTTCAACTCTGCGGGGAAAGGGGCGGGGTATCGCCACAGAGCCTCAGCCCGAGACCTTCTAGAGTCCCTGCTGCCCCGGGATCTTCTGCTGATTTTAAGTTAGGAGTGACATAAGAGAAGGAACAACTCCCAAATTTCTTCCTCTTCTTTTCCTTTTAATTCCAATTTGACTCAGAGACCCATTTCCCTAAATTGGAATCAAGGGAGGTCTCCTCCCCACCCCCCAGCACAACCACCTCCCTACTTTCTCCAGCTCACGCAGGAAGGCAGGGAAAAGAGCCTCCTACCCCCACCATGCCCCCACCCCATCCCGTGGCTGAGATTACCCACCCCAACCTCAAAGAGAAGTCCTGGGAGGAAGAAACGGAGGAGGCTCTTCAAAAGGGAGTCAAAGACAGAGGGTGGGTTCAGAGGGCTTGACTGAACTTGGGGGCCCCAGGTGGAGAGTTGGGGGGAGCGGGCACGCCGGGGAACCGGGGCTGGCCTGCGCGGTCTGGGAAAGAGGGCGAGCGTGGGGGCCGCGGCAGGTGCACTGGCAGAGCCAGGGGAACTCTGGAGCCCCACGGGGTTCCCGAAAGGGGAGGCCCGGCCTGGGTGGAGGGTCTCTGTGGCGCCTGAGGTTTGCGGATCTGACTTGGGGAGCAGGACAGAAGGCAGCCGTTGCACTTGGACCGCTTCTTGGAAGGACCGGGAGGGGCAGTGGATCCCAGGAGGGAAAATTCCCACCGTGATCGCCTGGTGATTCTGGCCCGCATCTCAGAAGCGCCCAAATCATGCAGGCCTTTGTTTTCCCTGCAAGTAATCCAGGGGCTGGCCTGGCACCTGCTCGTGAGGGAGATCTGCAACTGGGCCCACCTATCTGAGAGGTCCAGGAGGGCCCCAGGCGGCACTGCCTAGCGGTCTCTGGGAGCGTGGGCCTTGGGAGGGACATGTCCAGAGGCAGGCGTGAAGGCAACTGACACTCAAATCTACACCCTTTTCTTTCCTCGCATCCTGTGGCCCTGTGCATCTCTCCAGCGCAGAGGAGTTGGATGGAAGAGGTCGTCCTGCCCCAATCCCCAAATTAACACGGGAGCCCGCTGGGGCTTCTTTTGTGGGCCACCCCCACCCCCAGCTCTGGGTACACTAAAAGCAGGCACCTGGCTCTGGACTTCGCCTCTCCCTCTTTGATGAATCCAGTCTTTTTTGCCCCCAACTCCCCAACACGCACCCCCCCACACACACACACGCACTTTGTGGAGCTGTCTCTCTTTTACTCTTTTCTTCTCTTCCTCTTTCCCTTTTACTACGATTGATGGAGTGACAACAGTTTGGCAAGCGTCCCCTAAGCCTGTAGTGGGCAGCTGTGGACCCAGCCCTGACTTCTCAACTAGGGAGGAACAGCCTCATTCCTGGGCCCTTGAAATTGACCCCCACGTGGAGGGAAGTTGAGAGAGAATGGCGTGAAGGTGGCTAGGCTGACAAAGGACAGAAGCCCTGATCTGGGGAGGGGGCAGTTTTACGCCATATGCCTGTTGCAGAGAGAGAATTTAGAAACAAAGGGAGATGGAAAGGAGGTCGGGGAAACAGCACAAAGGACTGAAAAATCAAGAGCAACAAAGAGAAAAGATTGGTGAGGGAAGAAAATACTTGAGAACGCCCCAGTGCTGGGGGCAGAGGAAGGGACCCAGGAGGGAGGCAGGGGAGACAGATGAAATAGAGGAATATTGATAAAGGACAGAATGAAGAAGCAAGATTAGTTTGTTGTATGAGAGAAAAAAGCAGAAAGGAAGGAAAGAGAGAGAAAGAAAAGAAAAGAAAAGAAAAAGAGAGAGAAGAAAAGAAAGAAGGAAAATAGGAAAAGAAAAAGTAAATGAAGGGGAGAGAGATGGGTGGGAAAGGAGGAAAGCTAGCAATAAAGAAGGAAGGAAAAGAAAAGGAAGGGAAGACTAGAGAGAAAAAAAGTGGAGGGAGGACAGGAAGAAAGCAAACGAAGGAAGGAAAATGAGAGATAAATAGAGAGAGGGAAAAAAGAAAGAAAACAAGGAGGGAACCGGGTTAACAGAAAAGGGGTCCAGACTCCCCAGGAGCAGCGGGAGGGAAGGAATCAGGAGGAGGGTGAGTGAAGGCCTCAGCAGGGGCTCCCAGGTACCCGGGCTGTGGGGACCCTGGCCTCCCACCACTGCCCCACTGCCCCCGCCCCGCCCCAGTGCCCACCCCAGGCAGCTGCAGCCAGCACCACAGGGGAGGTGGAGGCAGAGGCCAGCCTCTTGAGACTCGCTTCTCCCTGAAGTTGCCCAAGCAGCCGAAGAAGTAGCCGATAGAGCTGGAGGAGGCCCTCCTGCAGTCACACCTGCCTGAAGTGGGCCTTAAGGCTCCGCAGGTCAAGATCTGGTCCCAGAAGCAGTGTTAGGAGCAGAAGGAACAGTTTAGAGAGGGGCGGATCTCTCACCCCACCCTGGCTCAGTCTCCTGACCTGCCTCCCCTCTCACTCTGCTGGCCGAGGCTGTCTGTGGACCAGGCCGCTTTGTACTGCCATGCTCTGGCTCTGCGACCTTGGCCCTCGGTTGGGTCTCTCTGTCAAATGAGCCCTTTGCACTGGAAGGTTCTTGTGTCACTTTGGTTAGCCCACCTGAATATGTGCTGGTGAGAGAGGGGTGAATATAAGGCCTGGTCCATTCTGGGAAGGGCATCTTCATTTTCTTCTTTGGTGAGAAGAAAAATCTTCCTCCTTTGCCATCTTTATCACCATCCCTGGCTCAGAAAACTACCTTCCAGAACAGGGGATTTCTCCAGGCCAGAAGCGGTTGAATTAATCTGTAAAGGGTTTGGTGTGATATTTGCAGATGCTAGAGGAGCCGGAGGAAACATCTTACTCTGGGAAGAGACTGAGGACATGCCTTCCTAGGGCAAGCAGACGTTAGGTCTGCAGTGTATTTCACACACACACACACACACACACACACACACACACAGTTTAGTTGGCAAAATGGCTTTAGAGTCAGCCCGTGGAGATTAAGTGGAGGTGGCTGTATGTCTGCAGCCTCCTGGGCCTGTGCTCCCACACCCTGTCCGTGTGCTCCAGCGGCAACCGCTCAGTTAAAGCCAGTTAGATGACTCCTTTGTTTCCCCAAAGTGGGATGGGGCAGGTCACTGAGGTCAGCACGTCTTCCAAGGGCAGCATAAGCCTTGAGGGTGGGCTGGAGGACCCTGAAACCAGCGGCTGGAAAACCACGTCCCCAGTAATCTTTGCAGTACATCTCAGGGAGGCCCCAGCCTGGTACTTCCAGCATGGATTTTAGCTTTTCTCCCGTTTCTCAAGCTGCTTCTTTCCTTCCTTTATCTTTCTTTCTCCACCCCCACCCTCCACCTCTTGCTCCCTTCCTTCCTTGTCCTTGTTCTTTCCTTGTCTGTCTCTCGCTCTCTTTCCCTTTTCATCTAGTCCAGGCTGCGGCTCCGTTACTGCCTTCGTACCCAAAGGCTTTGCTCTGAGATCTTCAGACAAGTGAAAATGTGCCTCGTCTCAGGAGTTCATTACCTGGATACAAATATGGGGATTGGAAGGTGAGAGGCAAAATGGGGAGTAGGCTTTGCTGATAGAGTACGGGGTGAATCAACTCATTTTCTATATCAATCACAGTTAATGCCGTCACATCCCTGTGGCTTACCCCAGAAACCCTTCCCCATCTCGCCCTACTGCAGGCCACAGTCAGTCTGCCTCTGCTCATAGGGATGGCATTACTGGTGTCCCCAAGGTCGTTGCTCTCCTGGAGTGACTGAGGGCCTACAGTGAGAGCTCACCTCGGTGCAGGTGGGATGAGGTCAATGATGCCAGGTCAGAGCCTCAAACTGTTAAATAAGCAAAGCCTATTTCCCTATTCCCAATGCATTTAGGGGTTCTTTTTCCCTTGGATGGAGAGGCTGGTGGATTCTGGCTCTTGACCATCTCTCTAAGGAGTGCCCCTGATTAGCTGGGCCCACCTCCACCCCCCATCTGCTCAGCATAGAAGGGAGGCCACTCACTCCAGGCCTTGGAGGGGATGCAGACTGTCTGCCCAGAGCAGCTTCCGGACCCCAGCCTGGCCCCTGCTGGGAAGGAGGGAACCCAATTCACAGGACCTAGAATCTTGAAACTCCACACAGACAGAGCCGACCACTGGGGCTGCATTTTGGAGCCTGACGCTGGAAGCAGCTTCTGCCTTTGGCTTCTCCTTGCTGCCTCAGCCTCTGCTCTGTTCAGCTGGCTATTGTGGTTTTCTCTGTCTCACTTAGGGGTGTTGGGGACAGGGAAGTGAAATGTTTCTCTTCATGCCCCTAGTCCTTCCCCATGCCCACACCAAACCTCAAAGCTGCAGATGATAATGGACTGCAGCTTCCCGCCCTGCTCAGAAGCTACTCAAAGAGAATTCAGATTCTCTTCTGGGCAGGAGGAAGGACAGATGCTCCTTCCTC